CTCCTCCTCCTCCTCCTCCTCCTCCTCCTCATTATTATTATTATTATTATTAGACAGTGATGTGAGACTAAAAAAGGTTTCCCAGAGGCAATGACTGTATATCTAGGCCCTGAAGGACATGCAGGATTAATTACAAAATAATACCAATTCTATACAAACTCTACCAGAAGACAGAAGAGTCAATACCTTTCGTTTTGTTTATGGGACCACACCAAGACATTGTAAAAAACCTAAACATGTTCACATCCCTCAAAATCACAGATTCCAAAATTCTCAAGATGATATGAGCAAATTTGACTTAGGGGTATGTAAAAAGGATGCCACATCATGCTATGGGAGGTTTATCCCAGAAATGAAAGGTTGGTCAACATTAAGACTCAGTTACTTGATTCACTCTCCAGAAATGAAAAGGAAAACCCATATTTGGTATATTGTCATATTATAGAAGAAAAACACTCATGGCCACCTGAACAAATGCAAAAACACCTGAAGAAATCGAATGTTCACTCACAACTAAACCAGACAGCACGGAATGAATGAACAAGATGGCGGGCACCTGCTGGCGACTCCCTGGCAGGTGAACCTGGGATTCAGTTTTCGGATTTGAACTATGATCTTCAGCTTGCCAGCTCTTCCATCAGATTCTGGATTGTAAAACTTCTACAGTCACATGGGGCAGATGTGTGTGTGTGTGTGTGTGTGTGTGTGTGTGTGTGTGTGTGTGTGTGTGAGAGAGAGAGGGGGGGGGCGAGGGGGAGAGACAGAGACAGAGAAAGTTCCCTTATAGTAAACATTAAATGTTGAAGGTCTTAATGCTTTTCCTATAAGACTGGGAATGGTACTAATCTTATTTAGTATTATATTGGGGCTGCTAAACAGTCAAAGAAATTATAAAACATACAAGTTGGAAGGAGGAAACAAGGCTGCTTTTATTTATACATTTGACTAGTATTGACTAGCATTTCTGTGTTATGGTGACTCACACAATTGCTGGCAATATTTGTAACTTGATGATCTCCAAATATTTTATTACTTTCCATTGGAAGAAAAAGTAGGAGGTACTGCCTGAAAGCCTAGAGCTCACCAGCTCCACACAGGGCATTCACTGTGTGTCCCCTTGGGCACTTACAGATCCAGTACTTGATTCAAGTCTGCACGTGTGCATTGAGCGTGGAACCAGTTGGCCATGGTTCAAATCCTACATCTACCATTTAGTTGGTTGCATTGTTTTGGAAAAGCTCTTAATCTTTTGAACCTTACTGTCTACTTCTGAAACACAAAGACATTAGTAATCACCTCCTAGTACTGTTATGAGGATTAAGAAACACTATCTTTGTCAAAAACCTAACAGTTCTGGAATATAATGTTTTTGTGGTGGTGTTTTGTGAGCTGCTGGTATTGCTGCAGATGGGAAGGACACAGACTGAAATATTTCTCTTTGTAAAATGTTAACACCATAGGGCGGGAACAATGGCTCAGCAGTTAAAAGCACCGGCTTCTCTTCCAGAGGACTTTGGTTTCATTCCCAGCACTCACTTGTCAGCTCACAACCATCTGTAACTCCAGTGTTTGGGGGTCAGATGCAGACTCCATGGGCATCAGGGGTGCTTGTGGTACATAGATAAACATGCAGACAAAACCCTCCCACACATAAATAAATAAATTAAAAATGATTAAAAGTGAATACTATTTCCATGCCCTGAGAGTTTTAAATAAGACCCTGGTTATGCAGCCAGAATGTCACTATTCACTCCATTTGATAGATGATAAATACTGAGGCTGAAAAGCTCACCATCATAGAACTAGAAAGTGTAGCCCTGGAACTGGACATTGTGGTCAAGAGGTTGCATCCCTTCTCTTGCTCACTACACCGGCTGTCTTCACATCTGTCTGGATCTCCTCCCGTGGCCAGGCTAGAGAAATTCATGTGGTGGGTGGGTTCCATAAAGAGCCTGGCTGAGTAGGGAGGGCACAGAATTAGGGTATCATATTTTGGTCTGAGCCCATAGGAGACCATGTGGGAAAAGTTGTGCTGAACCCTGCCAAGTGTGTGTGTTGTCTCAAGTGGCTGCTGCCAGGTCTGCTGTCTCAGGAAAAAGAGGAGAATTAGGGCTAGAGATGAAGCCATTGATCAGTGAGATAGCCTTACTTTCCTGGCATATGTAACCAGTGGACAAAAAAAGCCCAGGCCCAGAATACTCACTCAGTCAGCTGGCCACTGAGTGAGCAAAAGAGTCAATGTTCTAGACCTGCCTTGTTATACCTGCCCCCTCCCGTATGTATGTATGTATGTGTGTGTATGTATATATGTATGTATGTATGTGTGTGTATGTATGTATGTATATATGTATGTGTGTATGTATGTATGTATGTATGTATGTATGTATGTGCATCTGCTTCTGAATACATGAAGGTCATGACCTCAAGCGTCATTTCTTAGACTCTTTCCACTTTCATGGAAGGGAGGGAGATAGAGAGAACCAGATCCCATTTAGGGCTGAACACTCAACAGCCAATTTTTCTCAGTGCTTTGACAAGTTATGAGTCTCTGTGTGTATCTCTGCCCACTGTAAAAAGAAGCTTCTCTTATGGAGGCTGAGAGCAGCACTGATCTACGGGTATTAAAATCAACCTTTGAGAGAGTTTGACAACATGTCCCCTTACCGAAGCAACAGTAGTAGGTTTTCCCCACTTAGGGCCTATGACCTCCCCATCTACGGCCTTTTAACCAGGTTTACGGTTCTAATGGATCCTTTCTGGTGACGTGGGCCTCAAATCTGATCAGAAGGCAGTCGGTCACCGTCATAACGGTCATACCACTCTTGCACTGTTGAGCGTATTTTGCCTGGCATGCAGAGTCCGCCACTGGGTAAGAATGCCAAGGACTCCTCGCCCCAGCATCCTCTTGAGCATCCTTGCTGTTTGCTATTTTAAATGCCACAGGCCAGGAGAATGAACCTGAACAAAGTGTAATGCTGTAGATGATCTGCAGCTCCTTTCTCAGCACAAACCCTGACTCAGATGTGGCTCTGGACTGCAGAAAACTGGGGGCATGAGACAAAGCCTAAGAGGAATGTCCTCTAGGGCAAAACAGGGCCACAAGGGCCGGGAAGTATGGTGGGAAGAACCTAATGCAGTCAAATAGGCTATTTGGTCAAGGTCTGCTGGCAATGCTATCCCTAGTATCTAGCTAAACAACAGTGGGGAAAATAAAAATTGCTCACTCTGGAAGTGAACCCAGAGTCCTGTGTGTCTGTCTACCATTACCCTGTGTCTAAGTCCCTGCGATGCTCCTGGCTGTGCTGGCTGTGGCACTTGACGTAGCAGAGGTAATGACTTCTGTCACAGTATGCTGGGGGTCCATGCCAAAGGGGATCACTGACACTCTTGCCAGGCCAGCAGGATTCTCAAGTCCACTGTGACTGAGCTTTTCACTTCCTGTTTCTCTCTCCTCCTCTTTCTCTCTCTCTCTTTCTCTCTCTCTCTCTCTGTGTGTGTGTGTGTGTGTGTGTTGTGTATGTATGTATTTATGTTTGTATGTGTGTATGTGTATACATGCAAATGCATGTAGATCAGAGATATACCTTGGATGTTCTTCTTCAGGAACTGTCTGCCTTCTTTTTTGAGTCAAAGTCTCTCCCTGGGACCAGGGGCTCACCAACTAGATTAGGCTGCTGGACCAGGGACCTCAAGGATCTACCTGTCTGCCTCCTTGGCACTGAAATTACAAGCACACACCAGCATACTTGGCTTTTGACATTCTGGGGATCAAACCCAGGTTCTCCTGTGTGTGCAGCAAGTACATTACTCATATATCGTCTCCAGCCCCAACTTCCGCTTTCTAAGTCTGATTCCCAGAACAACAGAACAAGGTGCTGGCGACCAAGTAGGAACCGTGCAGCAAACCAACGCCAGCGCTGACACAAGCAGCCTGGAGCTGGTCTCCCCAGCTGTCTCAGCAGCCGCAGGGAGCATGGGGAGCAGCAGAGCAGAGCAGGTAGCAGGCAGCAGAAATACCTTGGAAGGACTGAGTGGCTGGGGACCCTGAGGCAGTGGATGATGGAGAAGCAGTGCCAGTCTAAGTGTGAAAGAAGAGCCATGGCCTAGAATCCACCTCTTGCTATGAATCCTGGGCATCACCCTCTTTGATTTTCTTCTTATTAATTAGTTTCCTCTGCTTGTGCATTCAGGATCTCAAGAGGGGAATCATTAGACATAAATGTGTTATGTGGCTTTTCCTGGGAAAATGCAAACACCTATCCATCCTAGGCAGGGCATCCAGTTAAAACAAACAAACAAACAAACAAACAAACAACAAGCAAATCCCTATCCTATTCAAGCCTAGCTTAGTGAACCAGTGAATTTATATGGGTCACTTACAGACCCACAGGTGACTCAAAGGTAGCTGTGTTGCAGAAAAGCCCACCCCCACATGAGTGATGATTTGTGAAATCTATATTTCTAGTGCTCTTGGTACAACATGTAGGTAGCTTGGCTGCTCAGTCTCTTCTCTCCATCGATTGTTATCGCTTACACAACCCTGGGATGGAATCCTTGGAATCCTGTAAGCTTCAAGATCTTCCTAAGACCTGTGAGTTTCACTTATTTCTTGGGCTTTCTAAGTTTCATTTACTTCCTAAATCTTTTCTTTTCTTTTCTTTTCTTTTCTTTTCTTTTCTTTTCTTTTCTTTTCTTTTCTTTTCTTTTCTTTTCTTTCTTTTTTCTTTTCTTTTCTTTTCTTTTCTCTTCTTTTCTTTATTTCTTTATTTTTGAGACAAGGTCTCACAATGTAGCCTAGCTGACCTGGAACTCACAGAGATCCATTTGCTTCTGCCTCCCAAGTGCTGAGATTCCATGCTTGGTTGCTTCCTGAATTTTAATGAGGAGATAGGTACACGATACTCCACTCCTTTTTCTGTTCATCCTCCTCTTCCACAATGTTCTCTGAGCTTTGGAGAGGGTGATGTAGATGCTTGGTTATTTTCTTCCCTCTATGGACGATTACTGGGTCATTATGCTACGGCAACAACCAATTATTCTATGAGCCGTCCAAACTCACCTTCGGGTGCCGTTGCTTCTGCAGGTCTGCCATGTGTCTCCTCCCTCGTGGTGGCTTCAGGCCAGCTCACGTGTGTCCCCTCTCTAGGGATGAAGGACTTAATGGAAGCAAACACGTCCAGGAGCCACACAGTTGGCAGAGTCTAGTTTGAGGTAGGGCCCAGCACCATCCACTCTTTACAAATCCCCAAGCAGAGGCCTGGGCCTCAGCTGTCTGTGGATAGATCTCAGTGCTGGGCTCCTTAGTTGTCCATCTGCATTTTCTCCGCTCCACCACATCGGTCTAACAAACTGCATGAGGAATTCGTTACTTCTGGCGATTTTTAAACACTAACTCTAGTTGGATCTGAGTACTGTTTCCCATCCCTGGGACGAGTGGTTGAGCAGGGTCAGTTAGCCAGGGAGGGTTTCAGAGCTCGCATGGCCGTGAGGAGTCGGGGTGGGCTTGGCTCCAGTGCTCAGCATCTGCGTCAGGACACCGTTGGCTTCACCCTCATGTATTCTGCCTCTCTTGTGAGGGAGCTTGGGAAAAATGGGAACCTTTATGATTGGGAGAGGAAAGAAAAAAGATTGTCAGTGGCCATTGCATGTGGTGAAATTGGGGACATCTGAGGAAATGTTTTTTCTTACTAGAAAAAAGTTATTTTTGCATAAAGATGGCTGAATTTGCTTGGTGGAAGAATGTTAGGGGCACTTCATAACCACTGTGTAGAAACTATTTAGTCAGGTAATCAACTAGTGGGATGCTTGTGCTTTAATGAGGAAATTACCGATTGTGAGATTTGGGGATAGTGAAACTCTTGGATCACATATGTTGGCAGCGGCAAGTGTCAAATTGGATTGCCTGCCTAGAATTCTGAGCCACATTTGGTCTTCTTAGTTCAGAATTCCAGAACCTAGCACAGCACCTGGGACAGTCAGCCTCAGATGTTTGCTAACTGATGGTAGATGCACGAGAACTTGAAGGAAGGAAGCTGGCTGGCCGTTAGGGTGGGCAAGTGAAAAGGCCTGTGTGGCTCGCAATGTGGAGTCTGAAGACCAAGCAGGGAGTCCTTGCTGCAGAGGCCTGTGTTTTTCTAGGGGCTCTTCATCCTCTGAGACTCTTACGGAGAAAGGGTTTATTAAATGTTTGCTAAAGAAACGAAGCCCTCAACTTTCCAAGCCTCTGCCTTCCCATTGGTGAAATGTAGATTGTCACCATCCCTCTGCAGACAGACTAAGTAGATGGAACAAGCTGTGTACAAGGAGCTCTCTATACTGCACAGTGTTGCACCAGGGCCAGCCATTATAAATGGTGGTGATGACCACCACTCTGAGGTTGCAAGACTGAGGTAGAAGTCTATGCAGACAGGTGAACGTAGGTGGGCACCTGGCTGGCTGGCACAGGGGGAGCAATGGACCTACCCAAGGGCACAGCATAAGGTTCACCGTCAGGGGGCAGAGCCTGGATTCTGCATCCCTGGCAAGTCAGGCATGAGAACCGTCTCCAGCAGCCTTGGGGAGCTGGGCCTTGGGACTTCCTAACCACATGAAAGCAGCCAGTCAGGGTCCCTGAAGCAGGTGATCTGATGCCAGCACAGGTGGAGGATTTCTCATAGACGACATTGTCAATTAGAAGTCTCCTTCAGGCCTCCTACTATCCCAACCCTCTGAAGAAGTACAGTTGGGATCATGACAAGCTTCCTAGCCAAGATCTTTCTGAGGGATAATATGGCCCAGCTAATTACCCCATGCTAATAAGATAAGACTCAATTGCATGCAGAGGACTTGCAAGCCCAGCACTTTGGGAGTTTTCAAGTTACCCCACGTCTTTGATTTTGATAGGAGAAAATGATTTTTTTCCTTCCAGGCAAACTAAACCCACCAATTAGGGCAATTGTTCTCTTGAGCTCTATAAAAGGGAAGGCCGAAATCACAAGCTGGTGAACCGTCTCATAGTCTCTCAGGGAAGCTTCTGTGTCTCATTCCCACTCCGTGGCTTCTCTACGATGAACCGCCAATTCACCTGCAAGCCCGGAGCTGCCAACAGGGGCTTCAGTGGCTGCTCAGCTGTGCTGTCCGGGGGCAGCTCATCCTCTTACCGGGCAGGGGGCAAAGGGCTCAGTGGGGGCTTCAGCAGCCGGAGCCTCTACAGTCTGAGGGGCGCCAGGAGCATCTCCTTCAATGTGGCTGGTGGCAGCGGGCGCACAGCGGGATACGGATTTGGCCGGAATAGGGCCAGCGGCTTTGCTGGCAGCATGTTCGGCAGTGGGGCTCTGGGGCCTTCAAACCCATCCCTGGGTCTGCCTGGGGGCATCCACCAGGTCACTGTCAACAAGAGCCTCCTGGCCCCACTCAATGTGGAGCTGGACCCGGAGATCCAGAAAGTGCGCGCGCAGGAGCGGGAGCAGATCAAGGCTCTGAATAACAAGTTCGCCTCCTTCATCGACAAGGTGGGACAGCTGATAGCTAAGTACCCCCTTTCTTCCTCCACTTTCACTGCCCTTGGGGGCCCCCTGTCTGGAGAGAGGATGGTGGGACCCCCCCCCCCCCCGCCCCAGGATACAGACACAGCCCAGGACAGAGCAGAGAGGAAGCAGACAATAGCCTAGATATGAGTGCTGAGGGATAGGACCAAAGGCATGTAAGGAGCTCAAGAAGCTTCATTTGGAAGGTCTCTAGGAGGCAGAGCAAGCAAACTCTTGGTAGAGAAGTGAGTGGGTTGGGGGCAGAGCCAGTGGGATTTAGAAGGCAGAGGAGACCCCATTGATGGCCTTGGAAAGGGCAGAATGCCAGGGCCTTATGAAGTCTGCATTTTGACGAGCCCTCTGGGAATATTGATGCTGACCGAAGTTTGAGCACCAAGGAGTACGTGGTAGGCAAGTCTTGAACAATAGAAACTTCCTGGCAAACCACAGAGGAGAGCTCGAGGTCCCAGTTGGATTGAATACCTGGCTTCCAAGTAACCTGGGAGAAGCCCTGGATGTGGAGGGAGACAGCAGGCCTAACAGAGTAGGTCACCAGGCCCTGAAGGGTGGGAAGCTGGTAGGCAAATTCACATCTAAGAACTTGCCACAGAGAGGCATTCCCACAGCTCATCAATATTGACCTAGCAGGTTTAGACCGCGCCAGGAGACAGACAGCCAATGTTGTGACAGGTTGGAGATAAATGTGTATTGGGTTTCTCATGACCTCCAGAGCTGCCTTCTGGCTGCTAGACTAAGGATGACCAGAGGGAGGTACCTGGGTGTCATTTTCTTCTTTCAGAGCTCACCTTTGAAGGTCACATAGCAGATCAAAACTCATCCTTTTCCTCGGGAAAGGAAGCCTGCCATCCTGCTGACTGTGGAGAGGGTTCAGGTGGCTGTGGGTTTGCATTCCAGGTGCGCTTCCTGGAGCAGCAGAACCAGGTGTTGCAGACCAAGTGGGATCTGCTGCAGCAGCTGGACCTGAACAACTGCAAGAAGAATCTGGAGCCTGTTTACGAGGCCCACATCAGCAGCCTGCAAAAGCAGCTGGATGCGCTGTCTGGGGACAGAGTGAGGCTGGACTCGGAGCTGAGGGGCATGAGGGATGCTGTGGAGGACTACAAAAAGAGGTGAGTAGGGACACTGTGGACTAGCTGGCCCCTGGGGTGGGGCCTTCTAAGCAGGTCCTGGGACTTCTGCCTGTGACCTCAGGGGGACTGAACTTGGGTAGAGCAAGCCAGCCATCTGAGCTCACCTGGAAAGATGACAGCCTTCATGGGCTGGACCGTGGGTACTCAACCTGCTGGGCGGTGCCAGGGATTCCCCTGGAGCCAGTCTGCTCTTTTGTGTGTTGCTTCCTATCCCTTCTAGAGAGCCCTTGTGTATGTTCAACACAGGACTCCAGTTCCTAAGCTCACCCAGGGTGCCCCAAGTTCCAGGGAAACCCAAGCAGAGCAGGAGTGGAGTTCCTGTTGAACTTCTCTCATTGAGTCCTGCGCGCCCGCGCGCGTGCGCGGGCGCATACACACACACACACACACACACACACACACACACACACACACACACACACATTTGGTTTTTCAAGAAAGGGTTTCTCTATGTAGCTTTGCACCTTTTCCTGGAACTCGCTTGGTAGCCCAGGCTGGCCTCGATCTCACAGAGATCGGCGTGGCTCTGCCTCCCGAGTGCTGGGATTAAAGGCGTGCGCCACCACCGCCCGGCCTCCTGCACATTTGAGCCATATTCTTTCTTGACTTGGGTGCGGGTAGTTCTAGTTTCCTGGACTCCCACCTCAGGTTGGAGTGGCATTGCCCTGCTCCTGTGATTTGGATGCTGAAAAGGGAGGAGGGAAAATGGACTCACTCCCCAGGCATCAGAAGAAACCTAGACCCAAACTCTGCAGTCACCAAGCCCAGGTTCCTACTGACGACTCAGCCAAGCACCCCTCTCAAGCTGGGACAGCGGAAAACACCTGTTTAAGGATCCACACTTCAGATGTCTTGTTGTATTTCTCAGTGAGAATGTACAGGTATAGACGCACAAACCCTGGCACCCCCAGCCCCGGTTCACAGATGCTTTCCCTGCAGGTATGAAGAAGAAATAAACAAGCGAACAACCGCCGAGAATGAATTTGTGGTGCTTAAGAAAGTAAGGAGGGCACCTGGCCTCAGTCCCCCGTGGTGGGTGCAGGGGTAAGAGCAGAGGAGGGGTGAGGCCTGCACTCCCCGGAGGGCCTGGGGCTGAAAACCCAGAGAGAGACAAGGCTGGCTGTGTCCATCGTGGACACTGGTGGTCGTCTAGCATAGATCACTTTGCCATCTTCACAGCTGTGTAAATGGACGAGAGTCCAGCTGTGGATAGTCTGTCCCAGCCCGTGGTCAGTAGTGCACAGGACTCTGAGAAGGGCCAAGTCCCTTTTTTAACTTATCTCAGCAAGTCGCTTCGGCCGCCTCAGTGACTGTGGGGAGGGACAGGGTCTGTGCTCTCCTGTGGAGAATGGGGGGATAAAGTCAAGTTCCTGCCCCTGGGGTCTCGAGTCTCTTCCTGGGACAGTCAGCCGCAGGGTGGGGTTCATAAGAGAGATTGGTCAGTAGGAGGTGTCTGGATTCCCTTTAGGATGTGGACGCAGCGTACATGAGCAAGGTGGAGCTGCAGGCCAAGGTGGACGCCCTGGATGGAGAGATCAAGTTCCTCAAGTGTCTGTACGAGGGGGTAAGGCTGGTCCTCGCCTCTAGCTTCGGACTGGGGGAAGACTTAGGCTGATAAGATACCTATTTATCAGTCAGTTCAAGAGCCCAGGGCCCTCCAGCATTCGGGTGCTGAGGGCTTTGTAGTTCAAAGGCTGGATGATAGCTGAGCAGGCTACTTTCCTCATCTTGCCCCCGCTTGGGATAGATGTGCGATTTTCTTCTCAGTTGGCTTCCCAACTGGGTAGTTTTTCAAAGCCTTGGGCTCTGTTCTTCTATAGCTTTAGGGAATGTGGCAGGTGCCCGTTTGGATGTCCTGGGGTTATCCTTCTGGGATAGGGCCAGCATTTTGTCACCTTTCCCTGGTTACAATAGGCATTTCATGCATTCTTTTTTCTGTAGGAGATTGCTCAGATGCAGTCCCACATAAGTGACACATCTGTCATCTTGTCCATGGACAACAACCGCAACCTGGACCTGGACAGCATCATTGCTGAAGTCCGTGCTCAGTATGAGGACATCGCCCTGAAGAGCAAAGCCGAGGCAGAGATGGTGTACCAGACCAAGGTGGGGTTGACTGTACACCTCTCCAGTGATGTGTGTGTAGGGGGATCTGGCTTGGTCTCATTTTTTTCTGTTCCGTGACTCACTTCAGCCTCTAGCTAGCTGGGAACACAACACTGATCTTGGCACTGTGGGAAGCAAGAAGGGAGAAGACACAGCTCTGCCCTTGGGGCTCCCTTTAGGCTGATGGCAGCCATTTCAGGATGCAAACTCAAGACGCAAATGATGCGTCCTAACTCGGGGCTAGGTGGGATTGGGCAGGACCCACCTTCTGGAGGCAGAGAGCCCTGAAGTGCACCTGGGGGAGGGGAAACATGAGTAGTCGGCATCTCAGCTCTATCATTACAGTGAATCACAGGTCTCTTCAGTGTGATCTGGGATCAGGCAACCCCCACTTTTTCACTCAAGTCCACCTACAAGGATGAAGAGGGTGTTGCTATCCTTCACATCTTAGCTCCCCCGATGGGCGTGGGTAGGAGGAGACTCTTAGATAATCTGGTTTCTCTGATCATGATGGTAACTTTCTAATTGTTCCCTGCTGTTCATCGGACTCTTTCTCTCGATAAATCACCCGTGGGAGACCTTATCTCTCCTTCCCCATCTCCTTCCCAGCCTTGGATGGAGAGGTTTAGCCTGTTGGGGAAGGGTTAGCCTTCAGAGCCTAAGGGACAACACAAGCCTGGACTTTTTGATGAAGGCTCAGACTTGTGACCTGGTCCCACCAGTTCCTTCCCTATTTACTCTCACAAGCCAGGGGTGAGAATGGCCATGTCATTTACACCCCCCCCATGGGTTGTCAGGATCCAGAACTCAAACACAGGCTGTCACCTCCACAGTCCTTTCCAGAAGAATCAGAGGAGTCTCACAGATGTGATTATACACCATTTGCTATGTGGGTTATTGGTACCTCCACTTCACCATGGGCTTAGCAAGAGGGATGCCATGGCTGGGTGCTGACCACAGTGGCTGGGTGCTGACCACAGGGCTATGAGGCCGGTTTTCATGGTCACCATTTCAAGATGAATAAGTGAACCCCACAGGTGCAGGAAACTCAGCAAGAGCACTCAGTCAATAAGGGGTGATGGTGCTGCCACTTCTGGGGTGCTGAACCAGGTCAGGGCTGAGCATTCTGGGAAGGGGGCGAGGCAACACATCACCCCAAAGTGCCAAAGATCATGCCTGCTGTTTTCCCTTTAAGTTGCATTCTGAGCTTGAGCTGGGATACTCTGTTGACTGTTCAATGGACGACCCTAACGGTTTCATGGCTGGCATTCAACGGTGAACCTGCCCTCCTTCCACGCCCAACAAGACAGTTCCATACAGCTTGTGCTCAGCTAAGCTAGCAGGGAGAAGGGGAAGTGAGAAAATACAGCAGCCGATTGGCTCCTCATTCTGTCAGTCATCTATTCGCTCATCAGATCTTTTTCTTGAGCACCAGTGAGGTATTATACTATGTACTGAGAATTCAGAAAACAAACAAACAAACAAACAAACAAAAAAACAAAAACAAAAACAAAAAAAACCCAAAAATCCGTCCACCGAGGAAGGCACAGACATGTCAGTGAGGTCTGATATGTTTGACTTCTGGAGCCCAGGATCATGGGCTGATTGCACCTAGTCAGAGGATTAGGGAAGGTCTCCTGATCTGGCCTAGCTACAGCTACTTAAGGAAGAGGGAGCGGGTGGGGGAAGGGTTCTGGGAGAGGGAGAAGTCATACTCCTTCAGAGGCATGGGGGCACGTGAGGGTCATTTAAGGGGGGATATTAAAGGACTGTTCAGCAAAGCTGGGGAACCAGATCCATGAAGGCAGGGCAATGAGAAGTGAGCACCTTGACTCCACGCTACGAGTCTGAATTTCATCTTGACCTTGAAGGAAGGGCGGGCCATGGTTGGGGACGAACCTTGCAAAGATGCAGTGTGGAGCGTCGGGACACTGCCAACAGCCCTGTGCCTGCTCCAACCTCTGGAAGATCAGCCAGGCTTGAGGCGGATGAATAAAACCGGGCACAGACGGTTATAGAGACGAAGGCTCTGAAGCTGGGGGCTGGGGCTTCCTTCTCTCTTCTGCCGCATGGCCCCAAGCAAAGGCACCTTTTCTGGGCTAGCTTAAGCATTGATAACCCTTAAGTCACACATATGCTTGCTTACCCCCCCACCTACCAGTTCCAAGAGCTGCAGCTGGCAGCTGGCCGACATGGAGATGACCTCAAACACACCAGGAACGAGATCTCTGAGTTGACGAGGCTCATCCAGAGACTGCGATCAGAAATTGAGAGTGTGAAGAAGCAAGTGAGTGACAGGGACTCCTGACTGGGCCTCCTGCATACCCCCACGGGAAGGCTGGGGGGCTGGTGGCTCCCTGCCTGTCTCCTTCTCTTTGTACTCTGTCCTAGAAACCCCTTCCCCAGAGAAGCCTCATTTCCTCAACTACTGTGCTCCCCATCTGAAGTCTAGAACAGGGTTTCCCCCAAAGCTACAATACTGAGACTAACACACTTCCCTGGGGCCAAGTGAAGGTCCTCACTGCCAGATACACTCCGGGAAGTGTAGTGAGACAGAGCACCCCCCACCTCCTCCATTAGCACATGCACACAGGAGTAAAGTAGGACCTAGGTACCTCAGAACTCAGGGGGGACGCTACCTCCTGCCCCTCAGTGCTCCAACCTGGAGACGGCCATCGCTGATGCCGAGCAGCGAGGTGACTGTGCCCTCAAAGACGCCCGGGCCAAACTGGATGAGCTGGAGGGCGCCCTGCAGCAGGCCAAGGAGGAGCTGGCCCGGATGATGCGGGAGTACCAGGAGCTGATGAGTATGAAGCTGTCCCTGGACATCGAGATCGCCACCTACCGCAAGCTGCTGGAGGGCGAGGAGTGCAGGTGACAGCTGGGACGCCGTGAGAAACTTGGCAGTCCTCCCCGGGTCCGGCTCCCTAGACTGTGGGATGTGGACACTGGAGGGGCTAGAGATGCTTTTCAGTTTAACCACAAACAAGCCTCAGGGCCACTTCCAGCCACACAGTATGACAGCCACGTCCTTTCCATTTTCCCTCAGCTTTTCAGAGAGTTTCAGCTTAGTGTTGCCAGCTTCAAGGCCTTGGTGGCCCTTACAAAGAGCTCGTGTTCATGGAGGGCCAGTGGGTGCCGAGTTCAGTCTCTCAGCAGACAGCGCCGTCTCACGCCCCTCCTCCAGTTGACTTGCTTTATTTTCACAGGAGACATGTCTTTTCTTCTTTTCTTATTTGGTTATGTAATTCTGGTTTTGTTCATTGCAACATAATGACTTTTTTTTTTTTTAAAGAGAAATGCATTTTTTTTCCTATAAAAGGCAGTCAGCTGAAAATACTCAATTGATAATAATGTGGGTCACACAAAGTCCAGTCCAGTTGGAGGGACACAGGACAAGGACTGGCCTAAAGTCATGCAGGAGCTTCATATATTGCTATTTTAGTTGGTCTATATTCCATGTCTCTGCTTACTCAGGCCTCAGCCACCCAGTAGTGAAGCAATGGGCTCAAGAGAAACTCCACAGGTGGAGGGGGGCCCTGGCAGTGGTGTTAGTGTGGGAGCCCCAAGACTACAGGCCTCCTATCTCTGAAGTGAGGGAGGTAGACTGGGGAGGGCAGGAGCGACTCAAAGGCTCTATCCTTGAGACAGAGGCTATTAACACTTTCTGACTGGCTGCTGGCTGGTGGGGTTGGTGGAGGTGGGACTAGACTGGCTGGTGATCCTGGCCCATGTCCAGTGCATGGGGAGCATGCCCAGTGAGTGGGAAGCCCAGCTCAGGGCCCTAAGTGTGATGGAGGCTCTCCCTGTGTTTTTTCTGTGCAGGATGTCTGGGGAACACACCAGTGCTGTGAGCATCTGTGAGTATTTCACGTCTCTGAGGGCAGAGTTCCAGGCAGCCAACAAGCACAAAGTGAACGAGTGGGTGCCTGCCATCAGGGCCCCTGTGGAGCATCCTGTGCTCATCCTCCTGCCTCCACCGTTCTGAGCTACTTCTTCATCAGTAGAGTTAGCTTCCCCCAACTCCGAGTTTGCACACTCACCACTTCCCCAGAAACTTTGCCTGTGCTGGGATGAAGCTCTATAGCTGCTGCACACCTTCTCCCGCTACCCACACTCACCCTCTCCCGATACCCACACTCACCCTCTCCCACTACCCACAGTCACCCTGTCCCGCTACCCACACTCACCCTCCCCCGCTACCCACACTCACCCTCCCCCGCTACCCACACTCACCCTCCCCCGCTACCCACAGTCACACTGTCCCGCTATCCACAGTCACCCTGTCCTGCTACCCACACTCACACTGTCCTGCATAATGGGAAACTGAGTGCAGAGCCACCCGTCCCCTCTGTGGGTGGAGAGACCCATGTAGTCATGTGGACAGACCAGTGTTATCACTGGCCCCACAAGGCTCAGCCACTTTCTTCCTAATGGGTGGTGGGCAGCACAGGCGCCTCAATTCAAGCTGCCGGAAGTACAGTAGAAGTGACATACGGTGCCTTCTCATCTTAAAAGCAAGAGTTTGGCTTACATTTTGTCATCACCTGTCCTTGCTCTTCCTTGTTCATCCAAGGAGGAGCAGGTGCTTGACTGGGGATTCTGTGACACCTGGGCTGTTTTTCTCAAGGCTTGATTTGCTCAGGATTGAGCAATTTTGGGGTCCACGTGAGGGGTTTAGCTAGGAGGGAGATTGAATTGGGGGGCTGGGAGTTGGAAGGGACTGAGGGCCACTCTATCGTGAAACGCCCACTGATCCCTCTTCTCTCATTTCTCCACAGCGGTCATCAGCAGCTCCACACCGGGGGCCGTCGGTGCTGGGGCCAGCTTTGGATTTGGCAGCACCAGCACCTATGGTTACCGGACAAGCTCTGTGGGTGGGGGCTACAACATACTGTCCGGGGGCTGTGTCACCGGGAGTGGGAATTGCAGCCCCCGTGGGGAGACCAAGGCCAGGCTGGGCAGTGCAAGTGAGTTTAAGGATGTTTCGGGGAAGACCTCGGCTTTGGGCTCACCCACGAAGAAAACCATGAGATAAACCAACAGCCGATCCCCCACATCTGCCCAGCCTCGATTTTCTCTGGATTCTCTTCCAGGAAATCCTTCTGTTCTATTTACCATCACCCGATTCTTACGTTTCTTTGTTACATTGTTACCTTCTTCTCTCCAGCCCGTCTTCTTTGTCTTCATTAGGCAGCACCAGGATTCTAGGGAGTTACTCACGCATTCTTCTTCCCCACTGCAAAGGAACCGATTCTCAGCCTTCCGTGCCTTTGTGAGGACCCGATCCCTCTGCCTGCATGTCCCCTTCAGATGAAGGTTCCCTGCAGGCTGACCCTGATTCCCCGGATGCCCAGCACATGAGACTTGAAGCGTATTGCTGGGCAGTCCTACAAGAACCAGCCCACCCTAGAGCAAACACCCGGCCATAGTTGCATCTGGCAGGGTCTCTGTCAGTTTTAGGACTGGGAGTCCCCATCCAGCCTGGGTCTCATTTAGGCCCCAGCTCTCTGCTCCCATGTTCCACTAATAAACTTATAAAACTCATGTAAGGTCATATTGCCTCTTTCCTTGAAGAAATCCTTATTTCAGGCCACGTCCCTTTTGTATGTGGAGTGGTCACTGAATGGGAACCTCTGGCATCTGAACTTCCTCCGTTCCACAGGATCCTAAGTATCATTTGATCTGCATGAATTAGACCCTGCACAAGCTGGGTCCACGCCTAGGACTGTCCACACCTGCACAGACCCCAGCACCACCTTCACTGATACCCAGCATTCACTTATCCACACCCCACAGGTGTGTCTTCTGATCCCTACTTTCTTCAGGCAACAGTCAGGGGGTGTACAATGTTTAGCAACATACAGACTATCAGGAGAGGAGTCAAGTGTCTGGCGGCAAAATTTAAAGCTGATCAAGAGGCACTGGAAAGCCAATACTGAAGAGCTTAAGATGATATATTTTCTGATTAAAAACCCCAAAGGTCGATTCCTCTTTAAAGAAATGACCCAAGTCCTTGTGGTCCTCAATAAAGTTTGCACTGAGTCAATGATATGCATGTGTGAATTTGTGTGTGTGTGAACACATGCATACGTATGTGTGTGTGTGTGTGTGTGTGCTTAAGTAGATGCTCATCCCAATTACCCACATCACTTTGTTTACAGAACACTGTGTGTTTGGAGATGTCTCTAGGTCCCTAGGCTGCAGGAATTATTGTCAGATGTGACCGAATGCAAACGCATGTAAGAGAGTGGTGTCCATTCAGGTGGAGGCTTGTGTGTGGCGTCTGAACAGGATCGCTGTAGGCTCAGGGTGTCTTGTTAGGGTTAGCTGCGAAGAGACACTGTGGCCACAGCAACTTTTATAAAGGAAACATTTAACTGGGGTGGCTGGCTTACACTTTCGGAGGTTCAGTCCATTATCATCATGACAGGGAGCACGGTGGTGTGCAGGCAGACATAGTGCTGGAGCTGAGAGTGCTACATCCTGCGGGCAACAGGAAGTTGACTGCCACACTGAGGGAAGCTTGAGCAAGAGAGACCGCAAAGCCCACCCCCACAGTGACACACTTACCCCAACAAGGCCACACCTCCTAATAGTGTCAATCCCTTTGGGGGCCATTTTCTTTCAAACCACCACACCGGGAGAAAACAGACTTCAAGGACTGCGCTAGGAAGTTTGAATTCTAATTCGGTAACTAATTGGTGATCCTGAGCAAAGCTCTCAGCTCATGTGAGCTTCGTTTCTTGGTCTACAATGAGGCAGAATGATACCTCTGGTGTTAGCTGGAACGAGACAGTCAGAGGAGGTCAGGCACAATCCTGGCATGTTGAGTCCAGACATCTTAAGTTGATGCGAATGGAAACAGAAGCCTGCCATCTCTTTGGTTCAAAAGCTTGACGTATGAACAGTGTGTAGGAACTAGGAAAACAATTCACAAAATCCGTACTTGGGAGAGACCATATCATTTGGGATTGTATTAGATACTTTTCTGATTCTGTGACTGCATTCCTGACAAGAAGCAACTGAAGGGAAGAAGGAAGGAAGAAAGTAGGAAGAAGGAAAGAATGGGAGAAAGAAAAAGGGAAAAGGGAAGCAGGAAGGAAGAAGGGACGCAGGGCAAGGAAGGTGTGATGGTAGAAGATGGGAGGTCACATTGCATCTGCAGTCAGGAAGCAGAGAGAAGCGAGGATCGGGGATGCTGGCATTTAGCTCTTTCTTCCCTGTGTACAGCCGGGAACCTCAGCCAGGGATGACACCGCCCACATTTGGTGTTCTTTTCTAGCTTCAGTCAAACCTTTCTGGAAACATTCTCAAAGACACACGGTGATACGTTTCCATGATGATTCGAAATCTTTTCAGAATGACAATGAAGATTAAACATCACCAGGACAATACAGCTGTATTTTCCAATAGCTAATCTCAGGAATAAATTCTTGGGGCCAGCGAAAAAGGGGCCGTTCAATGGTTCATTCTTCATTTTGGGCATTTTATGGATTTGGACAAACGTAATGACATGTATCTACCATCATGACAAAAAACAGAGTTATTTCACTACTCTGTAGCTCCTCCAGCAGTAAGCGAGCTAGGAAGTCCTGGGACAAGACATTTGCTTATTCCGTGTGTTAACACATGGAATACAGGGATGAAGAAACCCTGTGTATGTGCTATAGGGAGGTATGACCACGAGAAAAGGTAACTGCACCCCGGTGAGGCAACACGACTAAGGAGTACCCAGTGGCCGTCCTGGCAGCGAGGAGCCATGGGGCGGGGGGGGGGGGGCGCGGAGGGAGGGGGCAGGCTGTCACAGGAGGCCGTACGTCCGGATGCTTCAGTCAGGCAGCTTCCTGGATGGACAGGAGGACGCGAAGACTAGAGCAGAGGCACTCGAGTGCACAAATTTGTTTCCTGTTGCTGGAGTGCGGCCGGTGAGACAGGAGGCACTCAGGTGAGGGGCGTGGCCACGCTGAGCTGGGGAGGCAGCAGCAGGGCTCAGGGAGACCCCTGCTTTTCTGCTGAGAGTTATGATTCTCTCCTGCAGAGTGGGAGGGAGAACTGACCCCTTGGCTGCCAGATGAGCTTGGATCAGCAGGACCTGGTCACTGACTGCGGCTCAGGGTGCTTTTGCTCCATGGGTCTCATATTCCTCGTCTGATTAGTGGTTAGTAACAGTTGTTACCATCTGAAGATGCCGTGAGAATGAAATTTAAAGGGAGTAGTGTTTGAAAGTCATTTATCTCACTGCCTGGTGCTTAGAAAGCTTCATAAATGGCTGTTCTGGGAATTATGAGGTGCTGAATGTTATTCCACGAGGCTTAAGTGAAGAGGGAGGCAGAGAAGATCTAATATAAATCAGATTATATGATGAGCATGAACTTAGGATAAAGAACATTAAAAGATATTTTTGCTGGGCAGTGGTGGCACATGTGGTGGTATTGTGTTCCCCAAAATATTGTGCACCCTAATAAACTTATCTGGGGTCAGAGACAGAACAGCCACTAGATACAAAGTCTAGAAAATGGTGGCACTCACACCTTTAATACTAGCACCCCAGAGGTAGAAATCCCTCCGGATCTCTGTGAGTTCAAGGCCACATTGGAAACGGCTAGGCATGGTGACTCACGCCTTTAATCCCAGGGAGTGGTGGTAGAAAGCAGAAAGGTATATAAGGCATTAGGACCAGAAACTAGAAGCATTTGGCTGGTTAAGCTTTCAGGCTTCTAGCAGCACAGTTCAGCTGAGACCCATTCTGGATGAAGACACAGAGGCTTCCAGTCTGAGGAAACAAGACCAGCTGAGAAGTTGGCCAGGTGAGGTTAGCTGTGGCTTGTTCTGTCTCTCTCAGCTTCACCCCAATACTTGGCTCTGGGTTTGTTTTATTAATAAGACTCTCTAAGATTTCTGCTACAGACACACACCTTTAATCCCAGCACTCAGGAGGCAGAGGCCACACTCTAGTCTACAGAGAAAGTTCCAGGACAGCCAGGGCTCTGCAGAGAAATCCTGTCTCGAACCCCACCCCACCAAAAAAGGGGAAAATTTTCTGCCATCTATCTTCTGTGCTTAGATCCAGAGACTCAATGCCAACTACCTCATGGACAAACCCTGG